TTATCAATCCGCTTAAAGTTTATATTAAGAATTTTTATGTATTTAAGTTTTATGAGAAAATAATGCTGATATAAGTTGTTGAAATAATCCATTCAAAAACTATTAATTTCATGAATGATTACTACATACTACCTAGTTGTTAGTTGGAAGTTAATTGTAAGCCATTACATTGGTAGCATTGTTATTGGCTTTTCTTTTCGAAATTGACAGTATATAATATTAATATCTACTATAAATTTCTCAGATAACACAGTTAATTGAGCATACGTTTCTAGTAATGTAATAAATCTTAAATATATACTTATACTGGAACATAGTAGACTAGTAGTTATTTACAGAGAGTAGTTTTTGTGGATATTATTGTAATTTAATAGTTGAATTCATGAGTCGATTGAAGCTGGACCTAGTGGGAGACTCCTCAGTAGTGCGCATCCATGATCTCACCTCGTGAGATTCGAACACAGGATCTATCGGTTTCGCGTTCGGACGCTTGACCTCTAAACCACTGAGCTGACCGGCATCCAACGGTGTTAATGTCTAACTTTAACTAATCCACGAAACTGTGCAACCGTCCACTATTGTCTTATTTATCTATAATTAATCCCTTAGTTACAAATTAATCAACCTAGTTCTTAACTAAACACTCTCTATCTACGTAAATAGAAATTATTCTAATATAAATACTAAAACTATTTAATTCAATTAGATTTTTGAATGAACATTATTAAAGTGAGTCAATCTTCGATATTCCAAATTGAATGTACTAATCCATAAGTATTTTACCATAAAATTCTTACATAATACTTAGTAAAGTTTTCTTTCTATTTGTTTTCATATTGCATAAACAGGATACTGTTTGTATATAACCGACAAATAATTCACATGTTTCTTAACGAATACTATTTTTAATTCTAAAGTTTGATGTTTAGTCAACCAAAACACAAATATGAGTGGTTTTTCAATCTATTTTAAATTGTAAGTCCTTCTGGCACACTAAGTTTACAAACTTAAAGAATAGGAACTTAATTTGCATTAATGACATTGAGAACTTTGAATGCTCGTATGATTATAAAACATCCTATTACATATATATGTTAACTTAAGTGTATATTTATGTGGTTGTGTTTACTCAGATCTATTTATTAAAATTGCCTTTATGTAGACGTATATATGAATTTCGACACGCTTCTATGATTCTGACATATGTACTTAACCATCCAGTATAAATTTAGTTACAAGACAAAGCACATACATACAAAAATTGATTTTCAGAAAAGTTTTGCATAATTGCTTAAATTTGATGGAAAAATTTGCGCAATGTTCGGATGTTACAAATAAAGGCTTATCAATCACTTGAAACGGTTTCTACCTTCTTTTTTATAAATAAGGAAGACTATTCAACTGATTAGAAATGTATATGACCTTTTAAATGGAACGCCTCTGGTAAAATTTGTGTCTGGAACTTGTACATAACTACAATGATAATGATATACTATTTAAATAACGGAAGTTAATTTATTTCAATCTGTTACCTATGTTATGATTCAGCGCCAGACAGACTTACTTTTAAGATATGTATATTCAGTAATATTATTTTTATATATGTATACTTATCAAAATTAATCTAAACAAGTTCAAAATGTATCTAGGTTGATAGAAAACCTGGAACTGTGATAAAATTTCAACGAAAGATTATTTGAGTGACCATTTATAGAATTCATATGATCCAACTTTTACACAGGTTCCTTTTTTTTGCTAATCGTTTAATATTATAAGTTTTTTATATTCAACTTTACCAAATTCTCCATAAAACATTTAAATATCATAGAAATTAGATTATAATGCTTTATCCTATTTCTCCTTCAAATCTCTCTAAAAATCATTCATCAGTAATATATGTAACTAATTTTCGTTTAATGTGACATTTCGTTTAGTTAATAGTACAACTTATTAATCGAAAGATGGTAATGAAAACTGAATGGGATAAATAAATGTTCTATGTCGAGTAAAGAGATTTGCATATATATATATATTTATAGTTGAATTCATGATTTCATTAAAGCTAGACCACTATGGAAAACCTGAAAGCACCGAACGGCCTTTTCGGTCTGGTATTGGACTCCTCAGAAGTGTGCATCAATTGACTCATAAATTTAACTATGAAATTACTATAATATCCACAAAACCCCTCTCTGAATATATATATATTATCCAACAGTATAACCGATTTTTACTTCATTATTTTCTCAAATGAAGATCAACTAGATTTCCTTTATGTAAGAGCATTAATTACTGTATGAAGTTGCTTACAAATAAAAGTATTTAGCTTTCTAATATTGACTACCAGAATAGTTTTTAAAACTTAGAACTAATCATACTATTTTTTATAAAAAATAGCCATTTACTCTCACTGTAGACATTTTAGTAGTCTTGATTGTACATGATGATGATTGTTATAAGTCCATGACTCTAATTAGTCAATAAATCAACAGCTTTTTTCAAAGTATTTTTTAATTTCAAACGATTGAAAAGAGAATACTTTGGCTCCAAACATTTACCCTAGTACTATTGTGGTGTGTGCTACTTATATTAACATAAGTAGTATATGATGCTAGTCATGAACAGAAGGTATGGCAGCAGAGAGACTAGATGATCGAACACTAAAGAATGGAAACAGGATGCAATTTTTATGAAAATGCAAGAACAATGAAGTCTGAGTCATTTTGAGTGAATTGGTGGACATTTTGCAAATTAAGCATTTACTTTATGATTGTTAGATTTTATTAACAAGTCCTGTAATTTTGTGTTAAATACATTCGATTGTTCCTACTGGTGTTTGTGTTCACTACACTATGACCACTTAGTTTTTTTTACCTGTTAGGGAACAGAATAAAACATCATTCCATTCCGATTTGGTCAGTTACGTAATACCATTAGATCTAACACTAAAAGTGAAAATTGAAAATTAGTTCATATACATAAACGTGGTTATAGTGTTGCGTTATTATGCAATAATTTTCATATATAAATCAAATTGATGTCTATATTAGTTCTGTAATTATGTGCTTTTTCTTAATCACTCGTATATTTATTTTACTTAAATAATTTTACTGATTTGAAAACAATCAGCGTACATAAGTTACAGAGTTCAAATGAATAGTTTATTCATCAATAGCTTCTTGCTATGAACATACTTGTGCATTAAGAGGAAGAATGTATTTGTAAAATCTCAGTGAAAGAATTTGAAGTAAATCCAACGTTTCGCTTGGCAATCTTGAAAAAGCTTGGACCAGACTCCCAGGCGAAACGTTGGATTTACTTCAAATTCTTTCACTGAGATTTTATAAATACATTCTTTCTCTTTAATGTCTCACATTAAGTCGGCCCCCAAATACTGTGAAACTATTCGATTAAATTTAGACGAAAGTTCTTATTTATACTTGTTCACTGTTTACTTTTTTTGAACTAAATAACAAATAATATGGATGACGTAATAAAGTTGTCAGCCACTTTTCTTTGAACTCACATGTAATGTCACTAGATTCTTTTTTGAGTGAAATGTATATTCAATATCAAATGTTTGAGTAGACTGATAATACGGAAATTTGCCAGACTTAACTAATAATTGGTAAGTCTTAATAGTTCAAAAATAATGGTATATTGTACACTCTACATCAAAAGGTTAAGAGCCGTTAAACTTTTGAAATGAAATAATGGACCTGACAGAAAAAACAAGCTTAATTAACCTTTTAGTTCTAAACTTATCATCAAATTTGCGAGAGCGCTATCCTTTACAGATAAGCTTACACAAAAAAAACTGTCTTTATATGACTGTTGTACCTTATAATATAAGATCTTTTCATACCGAAGTTCATCTGCGCTGAATACCCTTTCAGCCAATATTTAATTTTCGGTCTCTCTTGCCTTATGATTACCACAGACTTAAAATAAAACAGTATTCTTAGAAGTTTTCGCCTATTCATCATTTTTCTGATAGATCAATTCACACATAATTGATCATTCCTCCATTCTCCACAACTTTCTTTTCATAATGAATGAATAATGTTATTGAGATAAATAAGTTTTCCAAATTATGGAAAATAATAATAATATAGAGAATTAAGTAACAGCCTGTGGATGACAGCCCTCATTGAATTAAGTTACTGCTTGAAGTATTCTATCATATATTACTATCTTATTAGATTTACACATGTGGCTCTCATTTATAGGTACATACAGACAAAAGGCCAGTCTTAAACCAATCATGTGTATATATGCACATTTACATATATACATCCATACTTTAAGATGCTGTTCTATATCTTGATAAATGCATGTATGTTTGTACACTTGCAAGAGTATATGAACCTAAGTGAAAGCATAAACGAAATTTGTTTCTGTCTAACAGATGACACACGTTTTAAGTAAAAGAACTCTTATGTCATTCTACTCAACTCAACTGTGACATAATAGACAGGTTTGATATGAGATAAAACTAAGGCAAAAAAATTTATAAAAAGATGAGAGTTTAAGAAGGAAGAAAATAAAAGGAATTAGGACAAAACACCAAGAAGATACGAAGAAAGCAAACGAAGACAATGACCTAGAAAAATCTTGTGATACATTTTATTGAAGAAAACATAAACTGACATTATCCAAAAATATAATCCTTATGATCATTATAATTATAAAGATGATGATGAGAAGAATAATAAAATGATTAAAAATTTATTTACTTTACTTGTCGAATAATGAAATATCAACAATAACAATAATGAAACTGACTAGCAGGAAAAACAACTAAATAAGTAGAACCTCAACTTATTTACTTTTCCCCATTAAAATATGGCAAAGAAAATGTAAACATTAAGAAAAAAAAAGGGAATAGGTTATTAGATTTACCTGAATAACACGCATTGAAAGTCCAGTTTCTTGTGCTAATGACTCTCTAACATGCCTTGTTGGTTTGGGAGTTGCAGCAAATGCTGTTTTAAGTGTATCTAATTGTTTTGCTTTAATTGTTGTACGTGGACCACGACGTTTTGCACCACCACCATTATTATTTCCACTATTTGTATTGAGGTTAATTCCACTACTACACCAGGACCACCACAACTTAAGCTACTTTCAATACCACTAGTTAAATGATGTTGACGATGATTTATTCCACATTGACCAGTCATACTTTCGTCATCATCAACATCATCATCATCGTCATCATCATCCACTTCGACATCATCTCCTTCATCATCAACTATACTTCTTTGTGATGATACTTCACTAGTTGGCATTTCACAGCAACTTGTCTGTATTGGTGATTCGAATGAATGAGATTGATGTAATAAATGAATAAATCTATCTTGTGAAGATGAAGAATTAATTTCATTGTAATCATTTTCATGATCACTATGTAACACTGTATTTTTAAACTCATCTAACTGCATAGAACGATGTCTTCCGTTATTATTATTACTAGTAGTATTTTCACACCGTTCTCCAGTATTATTCATTGTTTCATCATCCTTATCATCATTATCATCACCTTCATCATCGTCTTCACTTATATGATTAACCAGTTCCCCATTATCATCGTTAACTTCATTATTATTGTGAATCAATAAATTGACATTTTGTGCAAATCTATCATTAATAAACATATTACTTCTACTTAACATTGTCAAATTATTATTATTATTATTAATACATTGATGATTTGTATCAACTGTTAATGGAAGTTTCTCATTTCTTGTTAAATAAACTTTATTTTCGATTGATTAATAAGTTGATTTTCTTTATTTGATATTCGTTCATTCATAGCTGATAAACAAAATGTATTATGATTATATAAAGTTGAAATTGAATTATCATTTATTAATAATTCATTATTTTCATTTATTTCTTTATTAATCCATGACAAATTATTATAGTTACAATTTACACTTTGATTATTATTACTATTACTGTTATTGTGTATCATTTCCTTTGATATAACATTATCATAGTTATCTTGGGTTTCATTTAATTTCCTTAAATTATTCTCATTAATATATTTATCAATATCAGTTCTATTCTCTAAATGATTAGTAATTTGTTCTGATTTTCTATGATGAAATTGTTGATTCAGTTGAAATAATGGTATATTTGTATTTGTATTGATTGATTGATCTGAAAGGAATGGATTTGTATTTAATAAAGTATTATTCATTGTTGAATAAATGATTGATTGTGAATTATCCGTTATAGAATTAGATAAATATGATCCTATTGAAGATGCAGCAATAGTACAACTAGTCATTATATCTATAATTTCTGATGGAAATAAATAATCTGATTTGATTTGTGTTGGATCATATAAATTTGTTTTATATTCATTATCTAATAGATTAGAATTTGGTTGTAATTTAACTTCAAATGTTGATTGTGATTTTTTTATAAGAATATTTGATTTTTCCATAGTAGAATTATATTTACCTGGTAACAAATTTTCTGTTAATAATTGTTGTGTATTTAATTCAGAATTTATAATAGAATTTCCACCATCAGAAATTGATTTGATTAGTTTATTAGTATCATTCATTGGTGTTTTAGAAGGAGAGGCTACAAAACAGTAATTGTACAATAGTAATACTTAAGAAAATTGAATGATTTTAATACTATTTTGGTGAATAAATAGATCAGTTTCCATTGTTAGATCATTGACAATGTACCATTGTAAGTCTCTTATTGGATAAATCAAATGTTAAACTCAACAAAACGGCTATTTTTTTTTGTTTATTCTAATATTTACAATCTGAAATTTACTTAAGCACAATAAATTATTAACCATTTATTGATGTATTTCATACATTTGTCGTTTATTTAAAATTTAACAACTAATCACAATCTTACGATATGTGAAATCAGAATAGGAGGTTGTGGAGATTGTAGTAGTTTTAAAAGTTGGACTCATGCATTGATCTATTGAAAACCTGAAAGGGGGTTCAGTGGTCTAGAAGTTAAGCGCTTGCGTGTGAGACTGAAGGTCCCGGATTCAAATCCCGTGCACTTCTGAGGAGTCTTATACTGGGATGAAACAACCGTCCAGCGCTTCCAGATATGCGAACTGTCTAATTTACAGAAGGATTAACAGTAGTTCTGAATTGTTATCTGACATACAAAGTTTAACTAAGAACTTTATGATCAAGAGGTAACCATAACATTGCATATTATGTGCATATTTTAATATCTAGCTTACAATTAACAGATTTTTTCAATCACTAGATTGCGAATTCGTACCTAGTTTCTCATATTTTGGTTAAAATGGTTAAGTAGTATAAGTAACTTCAATATAAGATTGAAGTCGAATCCTGAGGAATTGAAATTATGATTTGTTATTAACTTACGTCTATTACTTGAATTAATAACTAATGAGTGATGATTCAATGGGTCAACGGTAACATTCAAATCAAGGCCTGAAAGGATTGATTATGATCCCTAATGTGGTTGTGGATGTGTCGTGATGAATTGATATACAATAAAATAAATTAACTGTATAAATTTTTATCCAGCTCAAGTCAATCTTCAATATGAACTAACAAAATTTTCTTTCCAACAGTTATATACAGTCCTCTATGAATTGACAGAGGAGAGAAAGCAGCAAATAAAGACACATTTTACAGCAACACCATACGCATAAGATATCTCAATACGGTGAGACTATAATTTATGGACGACCTTTGAGTGACGCCGAGGTGACCTTGAGAGACTCTACCTACTTACTAGGGCTAAATGAGGGTTACAAACCAGTTTGAATAATAACGATTATGATTCCTAGTTGATGGTTAGGGTTAGGAATTCGATTTACGGTTCGTCATCAAAAACTGATATAAGCTAAAATGTGAAGACGCTATTCGGTCAAATGGGTGAGTGAATTTTTCACCAAAATCCAAGACCTGTTATCCTGAATCTGATTGGTTCGTCCACAAATTATAGTCTCGCTCACAATACATTTATTCATTTTAACTAGATTTACACTAACTTAATCAATCTACAGTTAATTGTTCACTAAATAATATTAGTTCCAATATGTAAAAGTATTCATAACTAACGTTATTTACTGATAAACTGAACTGTACACTTGATCTCAGTTCTAACAATAAATAAATATTAGTATCAGAGGGAGTTTTGTGGAGATTGCAGTAATTTCAATAGTTGAGATCATGAGTCACTTGAAACTAGACCATCATGGTGGATGTGTCGCTCAATTTCATAGATTAGTTGAAGTTAGACATCAACATCATTGGATGCTGGCCAGCTCAGTGGTCTAGTGGTTAAGTGCTCGTGCGCGGGACTGATAGGTCCTGCGTTCGAATCCTGCGAGGCGGGGTTTTGAATGAGTACTTCTAAGGAGTCGTATACTAGAACGGAACGGCCGTCTAGTGCTTCTAGGTTTTCCATGGTGGTCTAGCTTCAAATGACTCATGATCTCAACTATTGAAATAAATATTAGGATTTTTAATAAATTAACTCAATAGTTGGACAACAAACCATTCGATCACTGACATCATGCATATTTCCTACAACTACAACTGCTTGATAATTAGTACTAACATTTTCTTTAAACAACATGGCAAATAATAATGGTCCTAAATTTGATTATGTGTAATATCATTAAGTCATTAATAAAGTAAATATATATTGGTTATAAAAATTATCACATCAAATTTTCATTGACGTGAATTGTGTATCTAAAAGATGACAACAAATTTCTTACGATTTTCACGTTGATAACAAGAAATTTACTGACAACTTAAAATAAATAGATTCACTTGATATTGTTTGCTTGTATCTTTCCATTGTTGTTAGGACTGTAATTGATCAATCTCTTATTGGTATATGTGCATCTTGTGCGGATTGCCTCATAATTGCCTTAAATAACAAGCTTTATAAGCAAAAATGGATAGTGGCTAGCAGTAGAATCCAAGACGCACGTGACATCCTAAGTGGATAACACTATAGAATTTGAAGCGAACGGTACTGGGTTCGAGTCCCGAAGTGAACATCACTCTCGAATGCAGATACATCCAGCTGACGAGACCCAAATGGGACGAAACGTGCGTCCTGGATTCCGCTGCTAACCACCATCCATCTTTGCTTAAAGCAAATAGGATGAATTTTTTTACTGATATAAATTATCTAACATAAATCACAATTGAACATAGATATCAACGTTATGTACATGTTAAACTGTATCACGATAAAAAAATGTAATTACACTTCGAATATTATTATTATCTACAATTGTATACGAAATAAAATTTTAATCAGAAATGTCACATAGTACGTATAAACACAAACTAAATAGTCATAAAACAGAGAGAAAAGAAGGAAGACAATCCCCTTAACTTATTTCTTAAAAAGAAAGTACATAGATACAATTAAAACTACAAAGTGTATGTGTATTGACCAATCAGAGATGGTTCTTTGTACAAAGAAAAATACATGCATAAGTCTACTAACTAAGATTGTTTAAGATTTTCAAACATTTTTAATCATGTAAAGATGTATATTTTATTAAAGAATAACGAAAGCCTAAGAGAATAGAGCTTTTCATACTAACTGATAGAATGAAATTAATAAAGCATCATTAACTATTGGATGATTATTTAAATTCGATGAATTCATTTATTTAAGAATTTTATATTTTAAGGGAAATAATTCTTGTTTTCGTTAAGTCATTTCACAGTGAAATTAATGCTTGAATGAATTGAGAAATTGACCTAGCAACTGAGCCTTTAAAATTTGAGCAGATGTTACGTGAATATAAGATTAATTTAAATATTAGAAAAAAAAATTAGTCATTAAATATATATATAGATGACTTTGTTTCATTTTTGACAAGAATAATAAAATTAAAGCATTGGTTGATTGAATAATGAAAAAATATTTATTTATTTAATGCAATATATTGCAGGAGTTATAAGCCATTGTGAACATTTAAAAAGCATTATTTGATAGTTGAAGGTAATTTATATCGACTATAAGAATATGGCATGCAATGGGCAGCTCAGAACCAATTAGACGAATTGGACTTCGCAGTCGACCTAACCCTCCTATCGCATACACATGAACAAATTCAGATAAAGATAGCCAGTGTAGCAGCAGTCTCTGCATCAGTAGACCTCAACATACACATGGGGAAAACCAAAGTCCTCAAATTCAAAACCGAGAACAGCAATTCAATCACTCTTGATTACGAAACTCTGGAAGATGTAGAATCCTTCACATACCTAGGAAGCACCATCGATGAACAGGGAGGTTCAGATGCAGATGTAAAGGTGAGGATTGGCAAAGCAAGGGTTGCATTCCTACAATTGAAGAACATATGGAACTCAAAACAACTTTCAATCAATATCAAAGTGAGAATCTCCAATACCAACGTCAAGACAGTCCTACTGTACGAAGCTGAAACGTGAAGAACTACTACAACCATCATCAAGAAGGTACAAGTATTTATAAATGGTTGTCTACGCAAGATATTCAACATCCATTGGCCGGATGCCATCAGCAACAGCCGTCTGTGGGAGAGGACAAACCAGCTGTCAGCTGAAGAGGAAATTAGGAAAAGACGATGGAAATGGATAGGATATACATTACGTAAATCATCAAACTACATCACGAGGCAAGCCCTAACTTGGAATTCTGAAGGAAAGCGGGAAAGAGGAAAACCAAAGAACACATTGCGTCGGATAATAGAAGCAGATATGAAAACGATGAATTACAACTGGACGAAGCTAGAAAGAATCGCCCAGGACAGGGTTGGATGGAGAATGCTGGTGAGCGGCCTATGCTCCTTCACGACGAGTAACAGGCGTAAGTAAGTAAGCAAGTATAAGAATATTATCAGTTTGGGGTTGTGTAGATTGTGATAATAAATCGATGGATGTTAGACCATTATTGAAAACCTGGAAGCACTGGATGGCCGTTTCGTCCTAGTATGGGAATATATTATTATCAAATTTGATCCTTTGCATCACGAACTGATCTTAGGTAACCTTTTCAACCCAGGAAGTACTAGAGAACTTTTTCGTACTAATATAGAACTATTCAGCAACTTCCATTCAAGACTCCTACTTCAATGAAATCTTAAGAACTTCTGTTGTCAAGCTGACCACTTACATTTTGGACCATTAAGTTGGCACCCAAGTGTTTACATTGTTGACTTGAAAAAATGTTATAACGTATCGATAATAATTGTCTCGTCCGAGTTTAACACTTGGTAATGTGCATAAAATATGGGAGCACAATATTTATGTTTTATAATGAATGATATGCTGTTAAAAACATAAAGTTGGAAAACTATACTACATTTTTGTCAACTTTAATCAATTCTTAATATGCAATCAATTTGTAAAACATGACATTCTCTTAAAAGGAAATCATTCACTCTTTCCAAGCAGTAGAGTAAGATTAAAAAGAAATTTGTCTTCATTTTCAAACTGATTCACCAGAGTATAACTAATCAGTTAATTAGTAATATTTATGGTTAACTGTAATAAAAACATGTTTTACGGCTGAATATGATATCATACTTTCGAC